CGCGATTTCTCAAAAGAAATCCGCGACTTCAAATTCTAATCCGCGACAAAAAAAAAACTGTTTTCATTGCCTAAAAATAGCAATTGGATACTACTACATGGCATTTCAAGCTTATTGCTTATAGTATATTAGATTTTTGCCTTAGTGTTCTTTGAGGTACTTTCACATTTTAATTGAGAGCTTTCTATGCCTGTACCATCCTATGTCCAAGGAAGAAGAGAAATTTTCCAACCCGAAAAATTAATAGACCGGATGGGAATAGAACTCAGTCGCCTCCAGCATGGACTTGCTTTGTAGCTGCGCCTTTACCGACTGAGCTAAAGGAGTATCGTTTGAATAACATTGTATCATCTTTAGTTATGTATGTATGGTATAAATTCTGAGTAATAGTGAACATAATAAAACAGCCTTACATTATGAGATTCTATTGAATAATACCGGCCTAGATTTGATGAAACATTTTTAAAAATAATTAATGCATTTTCATTTGATATGCAAACTTTCTTGAAAATTAACCAGAGACGAATTTTGCTGTCCTAAATGTTGTAGTTAATTTGGCCCAATGGTGAGACATGTTCATGATATTTTTTTTATTTCTAATATGAACCTAGCACTTTTCGTTGTCAAATCATAACCGAATCGTATAAATGTGATTTTGTGGATCATGCACGACTCATTACTGTGTATACCGGAAATTATAGGTTTTCCGAATCGTCCAGGACATCAGTTGATTTGTTGTACTAGATCAACCAAGACTGCAATAATGTCTGTAGTATCGAAATATGTCCAATCAGATTAAAAGTGTCTATGTTGATCTATTTCCGAGTAAACCAGATGTTCAAGGTTCTTCAAATCGTCCTGGAGTTCAGGTAATTTGATCTACTAGATCAACCGACATTGGGACAATGTCTTTAGTACCGAAATATGTCCAGACAGATGCACAGTGTCTATGTGGATCATGCATGAACTATTGTCATGTATACCAGATGTTTTAAGAACTCCAAATCGTTCTGGGCCTCATAGCCTAGTCAGTAAAGGCACGGTATTACTAAGCCGGAGGCGGCGGGTTCGATTCCCGGTCCGGTCGAGAGAATCTTTCGGGATGGAAAGTTTCTCGACTTCCCTGGGAATAGAGTATAATTGTGTTTGCCACAGAATATACACATTCATGCATTGGTATTGGCATCGAAAGCTCTCAATTAATAACTTTGAGAGTGCATTTAGAACACTAAGTTGAGAGCATGCAAAAAGCTAATATGTACTAATCAATAAGCTTGAAATGCGAATAAAAAGAAGAAGAAATCGTTCTGGAGTTCAGATGAATTATTCAATTAGATCAACCATGACTGGGATGAAGTTTGTAGCATCAAAATATGTACAAACAGATTCATAGTGTCTATATGGATAATCTTTAATTATTTCCACGTATACCAGATGATCTAGGTTCTCCAAATCGTCCTGCAATTCAAATGATTTGTTTTACTAGATCAACGAAGACTAGGACAATAACTGTAGTATCGAATATCGATTTGGAAATCCTAGAACATTTGGCATGATCCACATATACACTGCAAATTTGTTTGGGCATATTTCGATACTACATATATTGAATTAGTCTTGGGTGATCTAGTAGAAAAATAACCTGATCTACAGAATGAGTTCAGAACCTATAACATCTTGTATACATAGGTCGTATAGGTCGGGTACAATCCACATAGACACTTTGAATCTGTTTGGACATATTTTGATACTACAGACATTATTGCAGTCTTGGTTGATATAGTAGAACAAATCAACTGAACTCCAGGACGATTTGGAGATACTAGAATATCCGGTATACATGGCAATTACTCGCTTATATACGATTCGTTTATGATTTGACAACGAAAAATGCTATGTTCATATTGGAAAAAAGGAAAATGTCTCACATTGGACAGACCTCAGGGAATTTCCGTGTAAATCCGGTGTGACTTATGGAATTGAGATAATTTTTCGATTATTTACAGGGTGTTTGGTTTGAACCGGTAAAAAATGGAGAGCCAAATGAACAACAAAATTGATGACAGCAAAATAATCCGGGACGGAAAGGATAGCACATCAGTCCCTTCGCGATTTTCGCGACATCATTTAATGTTTCCGCGATTTTCGTGACTGAAAGTTCAAGTTCGCGACAAATCCGCGAAAATCGCGAAATTCACGAAATTCGCGAAATCCGCGCCTGTTGTAACAGCCCTGAATATAGTATCCTTTTTTTAATCGGCGCATAAACTCAAGCTAATATTGAATCGCGAGCAAGGCCGGGCACACTCAACTAGTAGATAATAAAACAAGTGAAAAATAATAGGAGGAATTTGTTTGCTAAAACTTTTTAATCGCGAAATATTCGCGATTAATCATATCATATAATATTCCTTTTTTAGCGTCCTGGAAAAAAAACCTTACCTTAATTCGAAGTTTTTCTGGTTAATTGACAAGGTCATATAGTATTCGGTCAATGCAAGAATGATTATGTACGACTTCAATACATTATCAAAGAGCTTTGGGGTGATGTGGCTGGCAGCAAGGCGAGCGAAAGTTCAATGAAAATTAACTCACGAAGATGAATCTCGAACAGTAGCGGTGAGGCTTTTCCTCCTTCTTCGGTGAATGGACGCTCATGTGGGCTGCAGCTCGCTGCTTGCGAGCAGCCTTTCTGTGTGTACAATGTTCAACACCACGTGCCGAAAGCACTGCTGCTGCTGCTGCTGAGGACCGATCGGACGCCACCACACACGGTGATTGAATAAGACCGGAGATCCGGGAGACCGGATGGAATTCGATGTTGAAATATGAATTGCGGAAAGCGCCTTTTGCAGGCAATCGGTGTTAATTTTGGTCACCATTACATCAGTTGGACATTTGTGTATTTTTCAATAGTGACCTATTAGAAATTGACAAAGGGTTCATTTTAGCAGATTCCTAGAAAATTTTCCAATCGATTGGCTTGTTTAGAATTAAAATCCATCCGTTATTGACAGAGTTATAAGTGGTCAAAACCTGACCACTTCTCGCGACAAGGCCGATTTTGGTTTTTGAAATTGCACCCCCAATATGTTGCCGAAAGACGTAATCCTACGTCAAAAAAGGCTTGCTCCGCAACGTGAGTAGATCACCTTTTCGTGGTACGTTACGGGATGTAAGATCTACCACCGATATCTAGTCCTGACTACTTCAAACTAGGGGAACGGGATTTTTCAGTAATCAAAGGAACACATCTTAGTCCTTGTTACTTGTTATGCCTTGTCCTCCGAGGATGATCATGGAACAAGGAAAAATGAGTTAGTTAGTCTTCATCTACGTAATTCCTAATCTTCTATTCGTTGTTCTGTAGTTTGAATTGGTAAAGACTAGGGTTCTGATGCATGGTCATTATCGGTGTCATTGCTTAATTTTGTAGGTAAGGAATCCAATTTTGACTGACTAAGGGGCGCGCCTTTGTAGGGTGCTCTCACTCTTCAAAAGTTATAAATAGCGGGACCTTTCAAATTGGAATCGATTCCTTGCAATGAAAGCAAGGATGACAACTGTATCAAAACCGAAAACTTCATCATTTCTCAACAGTGATGGAGTAATACAACATGCACTAAACTAAGGACACGGGATCGTACTACAATAGATCCGAATGGTCGCAGTGGTTTTATGTCCCGAACAGAGGGAAAAAAAGGTTTTCGCGTGATCAGCTTTAGTTTCAGAGTGCTTCAATAACAGACGACCACTTTCTTCCTTGCATACGAGCGTTAATTGGTGATTTATAACTGATGGCAATTGAGTGCCATGCAGGCGACTTCCACTCTTGGAACCTATCAAACCCATCAACACATGGGCCGGAACAACCGGCTTTAATTTCCTTCCACGAGAATTGAGATTTTCTCGCTTCCGGAAAATCCCAACGACCTCGGCTGGGATTGAACCCAGCCACACTGGAGTGCGAAAGCAGTCACGATTACCACTCACCGACCGCCACCGTCTGAAAAAAAAACATGTATAGGAAAAAACGCGACAAAAATGGGAAGGGGGCTTTAATTATTAGAATATTTGCAATGACATTCGATTTAAGCGAAAATGTGGCTCCCCTGGATTCGGATAGAAGTGTACAATTGTTAATATACTCTTACGAGCAACTACCCACCTCATCTCATACCCGCTAAAAAAAACACCGCTCAGATCAATAAAGACAAACAACAGCTTGGTATGCGAATATTAACATTCCTCTTCTATGAACCGGCAAGCCAACGAAGACCGGAAATGAGAACAATCCTGATTCTGGGGAAACAAACAGATTATATGGGAAGTATATTTGCCCAAGGAAAGAGAACCCGCATTTTTCAATCCCGAATCCCCAGACGCACGCTTTTATCGGGATTTGGAAGATGAAATTAATTTGCTCTATTTTCATGTTTCAAACATTAACTGCCGAAGAATTGGCATATTTATGTAGAGAATATGATGCTGCTGAAGTACACCGTGAAATATTGTTTGAACACTATAATGAAACTGCTGTGTATTCAATAACTGATCTGAGTGTAGCCCAAAGCGAAGCTGAATATAATTGTGTACATAGGGATTGACTTTTTTATACCGTGTAATGAACTTCGTCATAAAACAAAATTTTGCAGGAATTGAATTAAAAATGGTAGGAATTTTAGTTTGTTTTAGTTGCAGTCAAAAGAGATTATCCCAGAAAATGGTTTGCAAAACGTTCCGTTTATATCACGAGAATAAAAAAAAGTCAAACCAGCATAAAATTACATCAAAGCAACGCAATGTAGATAAGCTGTGTTAACAATACAGAAAAAAGGACAGTTTTCTGGAATTTTGTCTAATTAAAATACATCCACACGAAGGGGATCATGATTTATCTCGTTTCGTAGGTAATGCATCTTTGTCAGATTTATAATAAAATTCAATATTTAGACAATTCCTGCCCTACTTTAAATGGAAACATAACAACATAAACTCACCCCGACTTGATCGGATCTTCCCCGCTGTGTCGCTTGGTATGGATTGTCCCTTTTTCAACGCCAATTTCTTGTACTTTGGAATCGTTGTTACCGGAAGCTGGACCTGCAATAAAATGAGAAAAGATAGACGATAAAAACCAACACAGGAAAAGCCATTGGAAATTGCTCAACAATCGAATAAACTGAAACAATCAAGGCGGATTGAGAGCGATGACCGAACAAGATAATGCGATTAATGGATAAATGGAAAGACCGACAAATCAGACAATACAAAAACAGACATCAATTCCCGGGAAATTGAGACACGTGCCAGTCTCAACCGGATTGTTTTGAGCCTTAAAAAATAATTTCTCCGAAGGTAATGGAATAAGAACACTTAACCATCCGTTACTCGCGTGAACTTTTTAACACGAGTACTCGCGCGTTGTACTTTGTACAACAGTGTGAGTTTTCCATTACGATTTTGCAGCCGAGCTACCAATCGATGTGAAACCAACGGGTATTCATAAGAAAACTTGTTTTTAACTAAACAAGCTAAACTTTTATCGCAGTTAACACCCAAAAATGCGGATAATAGAGACAATGTGAATGGAAACCGCGTAAACGGTGTCCGTACTACGTGGGATTTGACTTAATTAGTTACCACATGGAATATATCGAGATCCTGACCAGATAAAAAGTTACTGTCTTGGGCAAACTTGTTCTACAGATCATAATATTTTCGCTGGTGGAGACTAGTTCAGAATTTTCTCACTACGTAGCGCTGGAATACATGTGAAATTATCGCATGTGATATATCTCGAGATCATGACCTGATAGAAAGTTACTGTCGTCGACAAAGTTGTTCAGAAGGTCAAGGCCTTTTCGTTGGTGGACAGTAGTTCAGAGTTTTTTTTTCACTTAGTGGCGCTAGTATACATGTAAAATTCTTCGCATATATAAAATACCTCTAGATCCTTACCATATAAAAATTAAAGGGTCTGTGGCTAGGGGCACGAACGGAAGCTTGACGTAGGACCGCTAGTGGACGAAATAAATGTGAAGAGCATTAAATTCTTTTAATTTATCAAATATCTAACTCAACTCTTTCCGTTTTTGAATTGTAGGCGTACCAAATGTGTAGTAATCTTTTTCAAAAAGAAAGTTGATTACGAGAATCAATCAAAATCACTTGCACCCCTGCTTCCAAGTATGTGTGTTCGTTGGGGGCTTGTGGTTCTGAATATGGACAAACAAGCACAGATAAATTCTATTCCAACTCTTTACTGATGTAAGCTTGATGGCCCTGAAAAGCGCCGTTTTATTGAAGAGGACATCTATGGCCACTTACGCTTGGCGTGTTTGGTGTAGGTGACAGCATCACGGACCTCATTTTCCACGAACACCTTCAGCACACCTCGTAGATCAGACCGGAGATACGTCAGACACTGCCACGGCGAGCCAGACGACGGATGGTGGTTATCTCGAAGAATTTGCGATGACGATTGGCACCTCCTTTGCCACGACCAGTCAATTGTTGCATGTTGGTTATAGAAAAGTGGACTAACCACCTTCCTACTGCTGCTATTGCTGACCACGCCGTCCGAAGCGAAAATGAGCTGATACCAGGACAGCAGCGCTGCTTTATATCTTTTTAGGTTAAAGTAGAATGATGAGCAACCAAGTGGTATAAAAGCTACAAAGACTCCTCCCATTATGAGTAGTTTGCTATCAAGTAGCAACACTGGCTATTTTCTTTTTGCGTACACGGCGAATGAGAACGACCCAAATTTGAGTTTAGTTCACTCATAATCGCCAAAAGTGTAGGAACTCAACGATGAGTAAATTTGTCTCATGATTTCCTGTGGAAAACCTTAAAAATCTACCAGAAAATGAGGTAATTGACGAAAATTTTATTCAGTCTCGGAGTAGTAACAATAGACTGAGTGAATCCAATCTTTACTTTTCTAAAATTCGTGATTTTTCCCTGGAAAATCCTGGAAAAAACCTGGGAAAACATGAGGCAAATTTACTCATCGCTGAGTTCCTGCACTTTATTTCTTATTTCTGAGATAACTAAACTCAAATTTGGGTCGTTCTCATGCGCCGTGATAGATATCGGCGCCGGTGGTTAGCGTGATTACCTCTCACCTCAGCAGGCCTGGGTCCAATCTCAGTCGGCGCCACCGGCATGTTCTAAGGCATAACATCTCTGGGAGCTGCCTCCCTGGCGTCGGTAGCATTGGAGCTCAGTACGGAAAACAAATCTCGCGTCACTTTGCAATAGGTCCTATTTACATTGATCGATTCTCTTCATCGACACTCTCTTTCGTAAATAACTCGGCTTCACTAATCTGGATCAACAATAAAAAAGAGCCCATCAGCATTTGTAAACAAACCGTTCCAAAGCCCTTTACTCACAAAGCGAAGGCCACCCACACAAACCAACATCATCATCGGATAGGGGAAACTTCTACCTACAAGATGTGATTTGTGAGGCTTTGGAACGGTTTGTTTACAAATGCTGATGGGCCCTATTCTATTGTTGATCCAGAAATGTTTCCTGCCGTCTTCGTCGAATTAGATGCTAGATTGTTGCTTCTTCCATCGAAAATATCCGGCCGTGGTGATTCAAAGTTGATCAAGGTTGATCAAAATAATTTGTATCCCTGCTTCCAGTTTGATTACATGAGAATTTTGTGTGGTCGGTGGTTCGAAATATGGACAAACAGGCAGATGAATTCTATTCCTACTCTTTACTGTAATAATCTTGGTGGCCCTGAAAAGAGCCGTTTTGTTTCCAATGTTGGTGATGATTTAACCTCCGAAACCAAACAGAGTGCGACTCTGTCACTTCAAAAATGAAGATGACATCCATGGCCGCTTACGCTTGGCGTGTTTAGTGTAGGTGACAGCATCACGGATAACGGCGCCGGTGGTGTAGTGGTAAGCGTGATTACCTCTCACCCCAGCAGGCCTGGGTTCAATCCCAGTCGGCGCCGCCGGGATGTTCTGAGGCATAACATCTCTGATCACGCCTTCCTTCGGATGGGAAGTAAAGCCGTTGGTCCCCGGTTCATGAGTTGATGGGTCGATAGGTAGGGTCCAGGTGTGGGAGCTGCCTTCCTGGCACGTCGGTAGCATTGGTGCTCAGCACGGAAAACAAGATCGACGGAAAAAACAAACCAAAGGAAAAAAAAACATCGCGGATCTCATTTTTCAGGAACACCTTCAGCACGCCTCGTAAATCAAACCGGAGATACGTCAGACACCGCCACCACGAGCCAGACAACGGATGGTGGTTATCTTGAAGAATTTGCGTTTGGTTTTGAATATGGCGATGAGTGTGCAAAATATTACGCAATTCCATCCTCCCGATTCGCACGCACCCGAGGATCGGAGGCGAATGCCACTTCGACTTGTTTCGTCTACTTACTACTCTCTGACGACTGTGCTGGGGAAGCAGCATATGCATGTACACAGCAAAAAAATAATTTTGATATCACATCAAAGTGGATGCACTACAATCATGTCGAAAATTTCATGTAATTTTTATGACCACATAAATAAACAAATGCAGTAAAAGCAGCTTAATGTCAGTTCATGCATTGTATTAATGATAATTTGGTCCTTTTTAGCAAGTAATATTACACCATATTTTCGACATGATTGTAGTGTATCCACTTTGACGTGATATCAAAATTATTTTTTTGCTGTGTAGGTCAAGCATGGGAAAAATCGTTCCATTTTGCATTCTCAACTCACTCACACGCATACAACATCAGAAACGAACAGCAGCTTGTGCGAGCCGCACTGATTTCGTTCGTATTCGCATTGCTTCTATTTTCTTCGATGAATGCAGAATTGAGCAAAACAGACAGCTGAGCGTAACATGAATGATTCTGAGTGTAGTAGTGTGGATGATTCCTCTCTTATTATTTTTTCCATGCTGAGCCTTTTACGATTGCATTCTGCTGAGTGAGCTGAATGAGAATTTTGCAGAAAGAATCACTTTTTATTTTCTAGCTTTAAACATACATTGACACATTTAAATCGCTATTAATATCGAGAAAACTGTTATACTGTAACACATAAACATAAGCGTCACGCAAATAACTTAAAACTGCTGTGGCCAATTCAACTGATTTAAATCAGTGAGCCAAAAACTATCTGATTCGGCTATTTAAATCGTTAGCATTCGGATCTTACGCATTCAATCTGGTTCTCCCTCGGTAGAGAAAATTGTTCGGCTGCCTTTCAGTTTAGCCTTCTTTCCTTCTACTGCTGTCAGTTCTGAGTCAAGCTGCAGAGTCACTTGGTTGAAAGAATTTAAACTCGTTCGGCAATCTGTTTGTAGGTGAGGATGGCTATTTTGATTATGTGGTGCTCGCGCGAGTGAATGAATTTTCCCATGCTTGGTGTAGGTAATTGGTGGATTTGTTAGTTAATTCGATGTTTTTGGACAATGCTGGACATTTACCAGTTTTTCAATAGTTTCTTCTTGAAAATCAACATTTGGAAGCATTGTTATCGATGCGTAGCCATATTTCTGATCGATTGGTGATAAAATTACTGAAATTGGACCAGGGGCAGCTGAGTTATTAACGTTCAAAATCTTTCTTAATTTGTTACATGTTCCATTTTCGGTTTTCACAAAGTGTACCCCCATATAGAAATCAAAGACGTAGTCCTACGTCAAAAGCTACTTTACATGAGAATTCATACTAGCGCCGTGTAGTGAGAAAATTATTAACTACTGTTTACCAGCCAAAAATTCTTGACCCCCTAAGCAACTTTGCCGAAGACAGCAACTTTCTAGCTGATCAAGATCTCGAGCTATTGAATATGCGAAAAAGGCACGTATATACTAGCACCGCATAGTGAGAAAATTCTGAACTATTGTCACCCAACAAAAAGATCTTGACTTCTGGAAAACTTTGCCGAATACATTTACTTTCTACCTGGTCAGGATCTAGAGATATTTTATATGCAAGAGTTTCGCATCTATAGTAGCGCCGCAAAGTGAGAAAACACTGAACTACTGTCCACCTGCGAAAAAGCCTTGACCTCCTGAACAACTATGCCGAAGACAGTACCTTTGTATCTGGTTGGGAACTCGAGATATTTTATATGAGAATTTCACGTGTATGCTAGCGTCACGTGGTTAACAAATTCTGAACTATTGAGCACCAAGCAATAGGCTTTGACCTCCTGAAAAACTTTGTGAAAAACAGTAACTTTCTATCTGGTCAGGATCTCGAGATATATCACATGCGAGAATTTCACATGTATACTAGCGCTACGTAGTGAGAAAATTGTGAACTACTGTCCGCCAGCGACAAGGCTATGATCTCCTGAACAACTTTGTCAGAGACAGTAACTTTCTATCTGGTCAGGATCTCGATATATTGCATGTTGTAATCAATTAAGTCAAATCCCACGTAGTATGGTCACAGTTTTCGCGGTTTTCATTTACATTTTCCCTATTATCCGCATTTTTTAGGTGTTTACTGTAATCAAAGTTTAGCTTGTTTAGATCAAAACAAGTTTTTTGAGGAATACTCGTTGGTTTCAGATCGATTGGAAACTCAGCAACAAAATGGCAATGGAAAACTCATGTGTGTTGTACAAAGTACAACAGCGCGAGTAACGGAGGGTTAAACAAACTAAGGCATACAATCTTAGCTGGGGTGAACAGTCCGAGCGCGGTTTTTCGTTGCTTTATTAAATCAGGGCTGTTAGTGGGTATGCGATATGATAGTACATAGTGGCTTTAGTAACTAAAAAACGAAAATAGTGACCAAATAGTAGATTTAAAACAATAAAAAGGTGACCAATAGTGACATTTATTGATCAGAAAGATATGTCTCAGCCAAAGATTCCCAATTACTCGTCGAGAGTAACACACTTTGAGAAATTTCATGAACTCACGATACAGCATTTTTCAAGCTGCTTTAAAATAAGATTATGACCTCAATGTTCTTCAGGCTCAACAAAGTCCCACCAGTCGTCCCTGACCCATATGGGATACCCAGCTGCAATTAACTAAGCACTAGACTCACCCACAAAAGTAAAAGTTCTAATTTTTTACGAGCCAACCCCTAGATTTGTTCCTTTAGGTGAGAAAACCATTCTGTGAAAGTTATCAAAAAAAAATCGATTTTTTGGACCACCTTAATGGTCGCTCTTATGAGAAAATTTAAAAAAAAAAACATTTTGCGATAAGGAACAAAACTTCTAATTTTTACGAAATTCTGATAACCACTTTATCGTTTTACTATGGAATGGCTGAAAATAATATCTAATAGGAGATTTCGACACATTTATCTTGGCCTGAGCGTCCGGTATATTTTTGAACTGCAATCAAAAATTTGTGAACAACACCGAATCACACTGTAAAGCATCCCGATGACAAAATTTCCAACGATTCATTTTAAAAGTTACAGCAAAACTCTTAGCCCTCTACAGCCGAAGCTTGCCTGTTGGAAAGCAAATATTTTGAGCATCAGCTTTGCCAAAGAAGAAGTCATCATTCAATTCCATTGAAAATCGAAACATCATAAAAGGTGGCTAAGCACAATAAGTACCGACTTTGGCTTCCTTCTGGGAACAGAAGCCTGGAAGTGCGAAAGCGACACTAATTACTTCCATGATAAGGATGCTCGAGCAACAAAACGTAAGAATCACAAGTTCGTCATTTTACTTACCGTCAGAATGACTGGAGGCTTTCCGCATGCTCGTTAGCCGGTAGAACGGAGGAGTCTCGGTCCGCTCAATTAGACAATTCAGCGTTTCTACGGTTTGCAGTTCGCTCATCAACTCATCCAGCAGTCGGTTGGTACAGGAACGGGCCAAGTACAGTGCAACTCGCTTTGCCTTGAATTCGAGGACAGTGGACGTATGATAGAGCAAATCCAGGTAGTTCATGATGGCCATCAGAGATGACCGGTGCACGGGTGATGAAATGATTATTATTCACGGTCAATTAAGTAAATATTCAATCAAGGGACGCTTCATGAACGATGCTCTGAGGATCGCGGTGCGATGGTTTAAATCGGAACATTGTTCATAAATCATCCGCCACAAAAATAGAGCACGGAGATTTTTCATTTATTTATTTATTTATCTTATATATTTTTATTTTAAAGGCATTTTATTCAATACTTTAAAATGGCGTTGGACATGACGGGATGTTTATGCATAAAAATATAGCTTTTAACGAGGAATTGAATGCCTAGTTGGTTGTTCGCGGAACGAATCGTTTTCTGGTAGTTTGGAGCGAAAATAAGGGTTTTTACCTTAATTTTTAGTGTTTATAATGGTGTAATGGTCAATTTTACATAGATATATATATCAAATGTCAATCATTTTTTATAAAACCATTTTCATTTGAAAGCTAAGATAATCCTTCATAATCATATGCAACAAATTGAAAATAAGTCTTCAAATTCTTCAGGTACAGGAGAACTGTTTTCAGTATACACATTCAAAATACAGGTATACCTCGATATAACGTAACTGTCACTTTTGACTTACATCGCCGATTTCTCGCAAACAATCATTCAATCAAGCAAAGTAATGATTCCATCGAAAAGTCGAGACAAACCTCCATCTATTGGTAATGTTGATTTATATGATTGGATTGTTATTTGAGAGATATCGACGATGACGGTCAAAAGTGACAGTGACGTTATATCGAGGTATACCTGTATATGAAAAAAAAAAAAATATTGGGTTGAGTTTTTTAGATGCTGAACTCAATGAATCATACCAGTTCTCAACGAAAACTAAACCCCAGAATGGTAGGTTGGTAGGAATGGTAGGTGTTTCGTTCGGGTAAAAATAGGTTTCACTGGGTATTGTCCCTAAAGTCCCCTATTTGATCATTGAATGATTTATAATTATATCTCCTGATACAAATTTATTACATACGATTATGAAGGATGATCTTAGCTTTTAAATGAAATTGGTTTTGTAAAAAAATCTTGGCACTTATTATTTCAAGTTGGCCATTATACCATTATAGGCACTAACAAATAGAGTGAAAACCCTCATTTTCCTCCAACTACCCGAAAACTATTCGTTTCGTGAACAACCACCTAGGCGTTCAATTCCTGTTTTAAAATATATTAATGTCCTATCATATCCAGCGGTATTTTGAAATATTGACTAAAATTACTTTCAAAGTGTTTTTATGTTACTTCATACGCGAAGTTAACGATTTTCAGAGTTGGTTGGAAATGCTAACATGAAGCTATAGTGTGATGATTTATTAGCTAGAGAATGATCTTTAGAAGAGGGTAGGTGGATAGTTCCGTTAGAGTACGGCAGTGTGAAAATTGAATAGAAGTTGAAAATGAGCGAAGGGCCATTAATGCGACAGTTTTTGATCTATCTAGTATCTATCTTCAAAAACTGTCGCATTAATGGCCCTTCGCTCATTTTCAACTTCTATTCAATTTTCACACTGCCGTACTCTAACGGAACTATCCACCTAGCCTCTTCTAAAGATCATTCTCTAGCTAATAAATTATCATACTAAAGCTTCATGTTAGCATTTCCAACCAACTCTAAAATTACTTCTTTTTTAATAATCAATCCCATTGTGCTTTGAATAAATTAAGATAAAATTGAAACTTACATAGGCCAGCAGCTCGTTGGGAGCCATACCCGAGATAATCAATAGGTACCGGAGGATGACCTTGAGATTATTAGGCCAAAATTGGCACAATGTTCCCCATAGTTCTTCGATGTACGGATGTGAGTCAGCAAACTGAAACAAAGATAGAAAGAAATAGAAAATGTGGAAACAGGTAAGAATTTGAATATTTCATGAACAAGCTAAAATTAAAAAAATCTCCCATTCTGAGAAAGTGCTAAGCATTAGCAAATTCTTGATATAGAAACAATGTTACAACAGTATGCGCTGATTCGTTTTGATCACTGATGAGCTTGATTCTCAGGATCCGCAAAAAAATATACGGGCTCGAATATCTCTGCTAACAAACGAATGTCCCGCATGGAAGATTACACCACCTGTCAACCCGTTCCACAAATACACATTTAAGTACACGGGAAGACGAAATGAGTACATACAACGGGACATTAACCAGATTCTATCCACTTCACGAAAATTCGAGGCTTTTCCTGGCTAAAAAACAAAATTGGTAGATGTGGGCTATCGTGATGACGATAAAAACGTTGATTTTAGTCAGAAGAGTAGTCCGGTATGCGTTTGCAGGATAATCACTTGTGGATTGTCAGGTCTCGTAGCGTGTACAGAAGATCAGATTTTCAAACTTGTGTATAGAGTACGGTATCTTTCAGGAAGTACAGCAATGAGGATGAGGGATCATTATCCGAGCAGGAACCGATACCCGAGCAGGAACGAATATCTCGATACCTTAAATTGGTATGGCTGAGCCTGACATAAGAGGTAAAATACTAAAAAAATGTTCCCACAGTACCATTCCAATACCAAATTATGATAATGCAATATCAAAACAATACCATCCAGGTATTCTTTTGGTATCCAAATATCAATTTTTGGTATTTACAAAGTATTTTCTATGTAATTTGTTGTATTATTGTTTGGTATTTTACCTCTTATGTCATGCTGGTCAATACCAAATTTTGGTATCAGATCAGAATGAGGTATTCATTAGTTATTTTCTCCTGCTCGGGTAGCTAATCGATAACAAATGAATATCTTAATGTGGTATGATACCAGATTGGTATGATTTTGATATTATTCAGTTATCGAAATATTTTGTAAAATATCAAATGAATACCAAAATAACAAAATGTGATCTATCAGTTTTTAGACAATAACACCTAAAAGAGTTATTGAATTGGTATTAGAAGACCTTCAAAATAACAAACTATGGTATTCTGGCATCTAAAAAGGCGTCTGTTATCCGTTTGTTATTGTAATAACTAAATTAGTTATTGATTAGTTATTCGTAGAATATTTTTGAGGTATTATTTTTGGTATTTTACCTCTTATGTCAACCTCAATAGTACCATATTAAGGTTGCCAGTTATGCTATTTTCATCCCTGAATTTGGTATTAATAAGTTATTTTTTTCTGTCTGGGTACCCGAGCAGGAAAAAATAACTAATGAATACCTAATTCTGTTCTAATACCAAAATTTGGTGTTGATCAGCATAACATAAGAGGTAAAATACCAAAGAATAATATCAAAGAATTGCATGAAAATACTTTGTAAATAACAGAAATGATATTTGGATACCAAAAGAATACCGCCCAGGTAACAAATCTAGAGCTGCTTGGCTATATTCAAAATTTATAAAGGTTTTATTCCAGCTGCAATCATTACCTACATCTTTATGACGGTCATATACAATGCAAGTCATGGAACATTCTCATAGCTATCTACAAAACCCCTATTAATAAAAAAAAAAACAACTGATCTTATGCTATTTTCACTTATGAAAGGTTTTATGATTGCCTTGAAGTATAAAAAAAGCAATATGAATTGCCCTTATAAAACCCAAAAATAAATCCTTTTATTGCTTTATAAGTAAGCGCAATAAAACTAGTTGGCCATGAAACAGTTATACAATTATAAGCATTCAGTTGCAACTTGTCAGAAGTGTTAATGAGCGGTTTATTTTTACAGCATAGAAAGAATCAAAACTTTCCGGTACTTCCAAGCGGAGCGCAAAGAAAATCAACAAAAAATTTAGCATGAGCCCGTTTATTTGCTACCGTCAGCCGCAAACCATCGTGAATAACTCCAACCAAGAAAAACAAATTCCGCTGCATTTTCTGCGGATGTCACAAAGAAAGCTGTAAAGAGTGTGCCTCCTCACCATTCTGAACCATCTTCACTTCGAATGGACACATTGCTACACCAAAAATGACTCATGAAGAGGAAATATATAATTATCTGGAGTTGGAGGATGATACCTATGCCAACTTGCGTCTCTTATCAGATTTACAGTCGTGGATGGTCACAACAAATCAACAATCAGCATTGAAAATTTTCTTTCCTTTTCATGGGGTGACACTGTCGAATCTTGGTCGAAATACATGGAATGGTGACAGTTCTAGGACAAAAAAGTTGAAATCACGCATAACTTTTCATAAAGTTTAATGTACCATTCAAAACTTTTCCAAATGTTTGTAAAATTCATCGGTTGCACCCGTAGAATAGGAATATACGTTTACCCTAAAAAAAAATGAATTGCTCTTGTAAAAAGAAAATAGTCCTCGAACCTCGAAATAAAATCATGCATTATGCTTTTCTGTTCTGCTACCATCCAATGTAAGTATTAGGGAAAATCTCTCTAATAAAGCAAAAAAAAGTAAGGATTAGACATTTTAAGAAATTGCGCTTGGTGTTTTTCTTGCCTGCTGTCCTCTGTCGCCATATTATCATTTTGAAAATCGCATTAGCCTTGGAATAAAATCCAAGATATTTCAATAAAATAATGGCTAAATTAGAGATCAGAACTGATTTCCAGTGTGCATTGGTATGAATTTATTTATTGAGATCTATTTTCTGTAAAATTAAGATGATTCCATCAAGTTATTTTTTTTTCTAATACAATCTTTTTTGTTAAATTGAATTATTTTTGAGGCGCATTTATTTAACGCTCATATTATCCCAATATACACGATAAAATTTCAAGCGCATATGTTTTGGAACTTCTAAAAAGGCATATATTTTCTTTAAGATTTGCACTAATGTCACCATGAAACAAAATTGATTGCATGGTGATCTTGACACCAACACTCAAACCTATTTTTACAGCTAAAGATTACCATATGGAAAAAAAAAGTTTCAGCAGAACAGAACAACAACAAGCTAATTTATGGCGGTTGCTTTGATGCAATAAAAATTAAATTGGATTTATAACTGATTTTCACCAAAGCGTAATAAAACTGCTTGGATACAATATTACTCTTAAAAAGCATATGAGAACCTTTTGTAGAGTATGGGGCTTTCTTACAAACGGTTTTAAGACAGCTTTATAAACCTTATCAAAAGTGGTCCACTAAGCTGGAAGACAATCTTATAGCGGTTATCAAAAGGTTGTGCTGGAGCTATTAATTTTATTGACGGTTTTATAAAATTGATGAAGAGTGTAATAAAAGAAGAAATGCAACTTGGGCTGGGTGGTATTGTTTTGGTATTGCATCACCAGATTAGTTTTATGAATTTTAAATGTTTCTTCAACACTTACCGCAACTAGGTAGTTGGTGGCAGCAGAGAAGGACGACAAGAAGAATGGAGGTGGCTGCCATGATTGGTGTCTCCCTACCACGTAGCGAATACAATAGTAGCACATTTAATTATCGTGATTTCGTTTTAATTGATCAACTTTGTTCATATTTCAGCCATTTGACTACGTCTGTAGTAGACCATCGATTATCATTTTCAATTATCGGATAACTGTTCTGAGAATTGTCCCTTTGTATACCGTTTATAAAATCATCTTGATTCGGTGAAGCCAGTGGAGATTTAAATAAAATATCAGGGATTGAGCTTAGGGCAACACCACTGGCTAAATCATAAAGTTGTACTTTTTTAACTTGAGCAAATTTTTGCCCGAAAGCACTTGTCAGAAGATTATTTTCCACAATCAATTTGCCAGAGGACAAATAGCCGAAAATCCATTCCCTAGAATGAACTGTTCCCTAGAAAACCAATTTCCTGAATATACCATATCCGAGCAAAGACGGTTAACAAAATGAAAGCAAATCGATATTAAATTTTATTATTTTTATCATAATGAAAACTCAGTTTGATTTCAATTGACGCGAAATAATGATATACTATTAAGCTTTCATAATACATTCAAGAGTTTTGGAATTGAAAGAAACATAAATTGATGTTCGCTTGTTGCCCATCTGCCGTTGAGAAATAATGCCACGGATACACTTGTATTACAAACTATGAGCATGAGCATTATTTGTATAATAAAACTCATGCTCATCCATGGTCACACTTGTATAGTTTGTGTATAGTGCTTATAATTTATTATACAAATAATTATCATGCTTTTAGTTTGTCATACACGTGTGTCCGTGCTATAACTATTATGGTTTGATAATGAAATATCTCATGTTATTGTTTAAATTAGTAAAATAGTGAATGCTTTTTTAGTCTTGAACAAATTAAAAAATCCTAATCCTAAATAATTTGTAGTAGCGTGGACCAACGCCTGTAGTGCTTCCGAACTCTCGCCTACACTCACAAGATAATATAACGCACACTACTGCGCCACTGAAAAGGGTAATATATTAATTGTATGCTTAAAGGGTGATACGGTCAAAATTTGGTCAATATCAACTTGACGTATTTCTTTCAATTTTGCATTTAAAAAACCTGAACACCCCTCATTTTGAAGGTGTGTGTGTGTAGAATGTTGCTCCTATTTTGATTTTGGAATTCACTCTTCAGTTGTCAAAATGCCGTCCAAGCAAGAAGAGCAGCGTATCAAAATTTTGCTCGCGCATCGCGAAAATCCGAGCTACTCGCACGCAAAGTTGGCAAAATCGCTAAAAGTTGCCAAATCAACCGTTACAAATGTAATTAAAGTGTTTGGGGAACGTTTGTCGACAGCCAGGAAGTCTGGATCGGGGGGAAATCGAAAACCGGAAGCCGCTGAGACGACAAAGAGAGTTGCCGGTAGTTTCAAGCGAAACCCTAACCTCTCTCTCCGAGATGCCGCAAATAAGCTGGGTGTATCGTCTACAACCGTGCATCGAGCCAAAAAACGAGCCGGACTATCGACTTACAA